ACTCGCCAACCTAAGCTGGTGGTGTCGCTCACTGCCTCGCACCCACATGTGCCGTGCAGGCGCAGGGGGTGTACCCTCCGTTGTTCCGGCCGAGGGACCAACTGCCAACGTGCCTGGCATGCACGCACGCGAGGCCCAGCGTGCCCACCCTGGAGGCCATGCGTACTCGTACGTGTGTCCTTGGCTCCTAGCAAGCTAGCGTCTCTCGCTCGCTACGCTACCGGATAATTTCGCCTTTTCCCCGAGCACCTGGGCTCGCTGAGCGACGCTAGCTCGTGATCCGATGCACACGCACACCAACTCCCTGCCACTGCCGCTGCCACCGTCGAGATCACGCAATCATGCCGCCCGCCCGCCAGTACTCCTTCGTTCGTAGTACGTGTACCGAGGAGAGGAGACAGGCAAATAAGAGATGGAGATCCGCGTGTGCCGCCTCCGCCGCCCGTCCGACGGCACGAGCACGAGCCGGCCGAGCGCAATGGTCAGGTGGTGACCGCGTCGCGAGGCCGGCCTACGTTGATCGATCGATCGAGACCGGCCAACGGTCGCTGTCACGCCCCCACAGCGCCGCGCCGACGATGACGCGCCACCTCCCCCTCTATTCTTCTCTCTCGCGTCCCCAGTCCTCACCTACTGCCGTCCGTCCCGCCATTGCCATGATATAACCCCCCATCCCCACCCCTCGCTCTCCCACACCACCACCAAACGCGACTGTTTCTTTCTCGCCTAGCTTGCATCGGCCGCCGGACCTCCATCCATCCATCGCACCAGCACCGACACGCCTCCGGCCGCGCGCGCGCGCATTTAGCTAGTTCGCCATGGCGCGCCTGCTCCGCGCCGCCGCCATCCTCGCGCTCCTGGCCGCCGTGTCCGTCGCCGCGCTCTCGGCGGCGCCGGCGTCGGCGGGCGGCGTAGCCGGCGACCTGGCTGCCCAGATGGCCGGCGCCGTCGTGATCCGGCGCGGCGGGCGGACGTGCCACGGCACGGTGGGCGAGTGCATGGAGTACTTCGGCGCGGACGCCGAGGGCGAGGCCGACGTCGCGGGCATGGCCACCGGCGGCAGCAAGCGCCGGGTGCTGCAGGGCGGCTCCGGCTACATCGGCTACGACGCGCTGCGCAGGGACAACGTGCCCTGCTCGCAGCGCGGCGCGTCCTACTACAACTGCCAGCCGGGCGCCGAGGCCAACCCCTACTCCCGCGGCTGCAGCGCCATCACCCAGTGCAGGGGCTGATGGCTGATGGCTGATGCATGATTTCGTCCCATTCTCCTCTCCAGTTAATGTTAATCGCAGCAGCTAGAGTTAAGGATAATCGATCGGTTGCTGTGCTAGCTTCTTCATGGTGATTTTCTTTTTGGGTCTTTTAATTTGAGACATGCATATATGGAGGTCGTACGTCGTCTTTGCTGTGCTAGCTAGCCTGCTTTGTCCGGCTGAGGCATGAGCATGACTCATCGATCGATTATTGTGGTGCAGTGGATATGTGTCTGTGCTGTTGCTAGCATCCCTTTCAGGATGAAAGTAAAAGTAATTATATGTGATGATCGTGTAATTTCCTGGCGTCTCTGATTTTACAGCCAATGAATAATTTGCAGTGCCTGCCTTTCATATTATTCTCATACTCCTGAACCAACATTGTTACTATTTCTTCATGTTTATTTCTTGATCGATTGAGTATATGAACTTTGGCAGCAGACCAGAGGTTTCTTGAGGCTTGTCAGGAACGAGACGTCAATTCCTTCTGAGTTGAGCTGTCTGTTCTGAGCATCAACTTCACCCCCTTTTGCTAACTTTGTTTGGGTGATTGGCGGATTCGGATCAGACCAGGCACTATGGAGGCCAATCTTTGGTCATCTTTCGCCTATGAGAGGGAAAACGACCTGGTCATGTAGTAGAAAAGATCAATTCAAATGGCTCAGCGATCGGATTAGTGTTTAGATATACTCTTTAGAACTAGTCATTAGTTGATGCCACCAACTGTGGTTGGGCTGTCATTTTTCATCATATGTGGAGTCAATGTACCTAGGAGCTTTTATTGTTGGTATAATTAAAAGCAGATTCTTTTGCTTTTTCAGAGGGACAGGTAACTACTCCTTGATTTGTACAGCCTATAGCAAAGTGACAGTTAGTAAATCTTTACAACGGCCAGCTTGGACCACCTTCCCTTTCAGTGAATTCTTCGGTACTAGTAGTACCTCGGTCCCATAGAGAGTGGCCGTTATAGTTTTGCCCTAAGGCCTCGTTCACTTTAAAAAAAAATTGAATCCGATAAATAGTACCACTTTAGTCTTATTTGGCAAATATTATCCAATCGTGGACCAACTAGGCTCAAAAGATTCATCTCGTGATTTCCAACTAAACTGTGTAATTAGTTATTTTTTTTACCTACATTTAATACTCCATGCAAACGGCTAAAAATTGATGTGATGGAGAGAGAGTGAAAAAACTTGGAATTTGGATGGCATCTAAACAAGGCGTAAGTCAAAATATTTTATATTTGATATTATTAACTTTATTATATTAAATAAATATACTAAGAAAATATTTTTCTACTCAAATTAATATTAAATGGATGAAGAAATGAGTAATGATATCTTTCTACAACTTTTTTTATAGTACTTTTGCTCTGTCGAGGTCAAGCTTATTGACCTTATCTGTAACCAAGGCTTGTTCAGTTTCCACCCTCTTTCTATCTAAAACTACTCTATCTCTATAGCGAATGTTACCTCTTCCCTCCCCCCCCCCCCCCCTTTTTCTTTTCTATGTCAAAGCCTCCTTTTCTGCTCACACAAACTAATTCCTCCACAATATCGTCACCCCCACCTCGCCTCAAGGCTTCCTTTGCCTTCTTATTACCCATTGGTCTCTTCAGGCCAATTAGACTCTGGACGTCCAACTTCAGTTACTTCACTGTTGGTACTATCAACAATGTTGGGACGGGAGTTTCCTGGAGTTTCAGGCCAATCTTTTGTTTCTTGTTAGCACCATTCTTATGGTCTACCAAATCCTTTTGCTTTGAATGCCATTTGGCTTCATTCTTCAATCTGTTCCAGCAATGAATTAATTGGAACGAGTTGTTGTCTTTGTCTATGCCTATATGTAAAGCCATCACATCACGTACAATCACATGCAAGAATTTATATATAGTTAGTATAGCTGTCATTGCAAATGAGAACGTTGGTAAAAACAAAAAAAATTTGACAAATTAATAACTTTGTTCTGAATAGTACGTCCACTTTGATTCCCATCCATAAAACTTGTTTACTTCTTCTAAAATAGTCAACCAACTATACATCAAAGATCTCTCAAAGGGATCAAATGCAATGATCTTGTTTGCATTGTAGTACTCTCCGACTCTCTTCCAAAAGTTACCACAAGTTTGATGAGTTTCACTCACAGGATCTTTAACATTCAACCAAGCTGACACGAGTAGTTCATCCTCATCTCATTAATTTTTTTTCATTTTCTTTTTGGGCCTTGCATCAGGAGTACTGTTGGCTGATTTGTTGTGAGAAAAAAATACTGTTCGTTGGCTGAAAAAGACTGTTCGTTGGCTGAAAAAGTACGGCTTATAAGCCAAGCAAACAGGGCGAGAATAACTTACTACATGTAAAAAAACAACTCATTTGATGACAAATCAATTTGTAATAAAAAAGAAATGCCACACTCACATGTGAATATACTATTCATTGGCCACCAATATAATATCACAATAAAACAATTTGCCATGCACATACAATTCATCAAACGACAAAACTAGTTCATATGTAAAACAAATTCAATAGAAACTAATAGCTCTATGGACAACACATGTATACATGAATTATTTATATGATATAGTACAAAAGTATTGTTCATAAGAAAACCAACCGTCAAACCCTTGTCTCTAAATAGTAGTAGTACGCCTCCTGCCGCAACTAGTTCTGGCTAGCCGTAGCTACCTTTGGGCGACCATAGCTAGCCTTGGCCATTGTCTAGTGTGGCTGTTGTTGGCCAGGGCTGGCTATGGCATGACTAAATGCACAATTGATGAACTACATATAGAAAAACTATCCATGGGATGTCAAATTAAGTTGCAATATAAAAACAAAATGCTATTCCACATAAATGTACTATTCATGAACTGAAAATACAAGAGCATAGCAAAAACAAATTTGTCATTCACATATGATTCTACTATTTATCGACCAACAAAACAATTTCACATGTAAAACAAATTGCAACAAAAAAACTGAAAGCAGTGTCCGTCGACTAACACATGTAAACATGATGTTTTACACGATGTAGTGTTAAAGTATTGTTCATAAAACTAGAAATCCCTAGGCGAATGGTCGTGATAATAACCGAGTAGGGCTTTGCTTTTGTGGGTCAAAAGAAGATGTCTAGAAAAGGGAATGGTTGTGATAGATAGCCATATTATAATGAGAAAAATTCTTTGGCTAATACAGTTTTTTAGTACCACTAGGCAAGGACTAATATTGCATTGGATCTAGTGACGCTGTCCGGAAACAAGTGCAAACCTTTGAAAATCACTACTACAATTTTATTACCACTGAGTCTAAACCCCCTTTTGGCTGTCAACACCGGGATAATTATAGGATTGTTACCCCTCTCTCTATTTGAAGACACGGGGGCGCAGTCCGGCCCAGCTCGGCCGGCTCATGTGATGGTGCAGCCGTGCTTTGGCAAAGGGCAGGGGCGCGGTGGTCTCAGCGGGCCTCGGGCCGTGGCTTAACGGGCCCGGGCCGGCCGTCTGGCACCTTTTGTCGTCTATAGCCCTACTACGAGCACCCACCGCTAAACCCGCCTGGTGCGGTCGTTTTTTCTCCATACTCGGCCTCACGAGCTTTGCCTCCTTCCGCTTCGCCGCGAGAAAACTAGGGTTTTGCTCCCGGAATCTTCCTCTCCCCGCCGCCGCCGACCGACCGTGCGCCGACGATACGACCGCCTCCTTCCTCCCTCCTCCGATCCGGCCTTTTTGATCCCCGGCTCCCGTACAAGATGGTGCGTCCCCCTTCCCTTCGTTTACATCGATCCCCAAAACTGAGATGTGGTTGGTGGCCGCGTCTGATTCGAATTTTTTGTTCTTGTGTGCAGCTTCCCCTCTCGCTCCTCAAGACCGCCCAGGGGCACCCCATGGTAAGATCCCGGTGTCTGGCTTCTTCTTTCGTCGTTATTTTTGGCGTGTGATTCTTCGTTTAGTCTATTGTTGGTCCTTACCGTTGAAAACTTTTGTGATCTCAGCTCGTGGAGCTGAAGAATGGTGAGACGTACAACGGGCATCTGGTCAACTGCGACACGTGGATGAACATCCACCTTAGGGAGGTTATTTGCACCTCAAAGGTGAAAAATCTAGTGCCCTTGATTCACATTGTGATAGGTTCTAGTTAGCAAAAGATTAGTTAAGTGCACTGTTTGATTTTGGGGTGAATCTTTTCTCCGAAGAAAGCATGGTTGAAATTCAAATAGTAACATTGTGGGGTTCCAGTTATTCTGTCCCTATTAGTTTGTCAGTTTCCTGTAGTTATGGCTTATGATGTGGCTGGAATTGCAGGATGGTGACAAGTTTTGGAGGATGCCGGAGTGTTACATCCGCGGGAACACCATTAAGTATCTTCGAGTTCCTGATGAGGTATGAATTTCTGGGTTAATGAGCCTAGCTAATCTCTGTTTTCAATTTGCTCGGTTGTTTAGATTCTTGTGCTTCTCCCTGATTTCTTCCTTGTCATTATGATGTGTATTTCCCTCTGGAATCATTTCTTTGTAGTTTTTTTCCACCACGGGAAACCTGAATTTTATATTACCATAAAGCAACAAAATTACAGCACAGTTTACTACTTGGAGTTCAAACCAACTCCTGACTGTATACAAAACCAGCACAGCTAAGCACCGAGGGCTTGAATTGTGTGACTAGCCAATTGTTTTAACCTTACAAAGATCATTAACTTGAATTTAATTCTAATCTAAAAAAAATGTATGGTACAATCAATAGTCATTTCTTTGTATTGCTTGAAATTTTGATCAGTATCTGCTCTTGTAGGTCTTGATTTGTTTTATTTATGGCTTAATAATTTGATTGTTTAGAGTATGTTTTCAACATAAGAGGTCCCTATTGTATTACTAAAGACATGACCATATGAATTACTTGATCTTATGTAGTCATTGAGGAGGTTATTCAAGGTAGATGCTGTAGGCTTGACAAACTGAAGCATTGATTAGATAAAATACAGTAGTAAGTCAACCAGCATTCTGTACATAAATCATAAAAGAAACTTGCATCTCATATCCTTCGATAAATAAGGCACAGATTGTGCTGTCCTTTAATTTAGTTGTCCTGCATGTCTCTGGAAAAGTAGTCCCTGTGCCGGAATAAGATCATTTTGGTATCTGACAGTCATTTTGATTTCACCAACAATGTGTATAGAAGTATTTATATTCAAAGCATGACTCCTGAGAATAATTATTTGCATCAAGTACTCCTACTTTGTACTTCCATAGATAAAACCTTTTTTACAGTTTTTGCTTTATTGTAGAACAATGTTATCAAGCCGTCAAGTCAATCCTAGTCACCATGGTACCGACCAGCTGACCAGGCGACTAATTGTTGACCGTTGGTCCTAGTCGTCCTATATATATATCAGGACTAATACACTAAATATATACTTATATACTATATGTTCTAGAGTACAAATAAAGCATGAAGATAACTCTAGGGTGGTGGCAGCATGTAGGGTTGCAAATTGGGCTGAAAAACATGAACCTAAGTGGCCTACGCCATCCCAGATGCGGCCCATGTCCTCAGACCTCAGTTGCCAGCAATTCCATTCCGTGTTTGGTCCTCCACCCCCTAATCGTCCGACTAATTGTGATTAGTCGATGACTAGTCGGATGACCAGAAAACTAATCGGCCTAATCAAGTTGTCGCCCCTACTCGAGTTCAGGATACTGGCTAGGATGACTAATCATGATTAATTGGATGACTTGATAACACTCTGTAGAATATGATACAGGGGTCAAGTCAAACTGGAATCATGGTACCATGAGAAACCTAATAGCTGAACCGAGGGAGTATTTGGGGGTGATTGCGGGCTGTGTATCTCGCCCTTGCATTGTTATCGTGAAAGTGAAACTGAGTATTTTAAAAAGTAATTAGACTGTCACCAGTTTGCTGGTGTTGTGTTAATTTTTTTAGAACATCACTGAGTATAAGTGTATAACACCAAGTAAACTTCGTCTTGTGATTGCCTTACTAGATTTGCAAACTGCCTTCCCCAAGCGAAGCGTAATGTGAATAAGTTACCCAGACTATCAGATTATATGGAACCACATATCTCACTAGTCACTAATTCAAGCATCATTCTAAGCACAAGTACATGCAAATTTCTAGTGAACTGCTCAAAAACATAAGTATTGTGCATGAGCTTCACATAAAAACCTGATTCTGTTAGTAGTTGAGTTGTAACTGTGATAATGTAGTTATGTTATACATTACTTGTAGGTTAGTGTCATAATGGTGACGAAACTTGTAAAATGTACTCTAAAATTTCTTACACTGGATGCGACGAAATAAGCTGTAGCATTCCATTTAGCACATGTCTTAAATAGTTCTCAAGTATTCAAATGGTCAATATCTGAGGTGAATGAAACAGGAAATATGTCACGCTGCCTTTTGGGTGTCTGGTGCTCAGAATGATGTCGTTGGATTGTGTTCATTGATAAAACTCTGGCAGTAATTAACGCGTACAGGATATGATTTTGGGTTTTCATATCGACTCAGTTTCCCTTATTTGGTCCCTTGCTAGATTTTCTTAGGAACTTCAGTTTACCTAACTTTCATTTGTTAACTCTAGTTCAAAACTTCAGCTGCAATAAACGTGCCCAGTAACCATAAGTTATTTCACGGTGCTCTAAGATCTTATTTTTCTAAATTTATAGCTTTTTCTTCCCATGGCATTTTTGTTTGTATTCTGTTATTTGTTTACTTTCTGTACACTAAGATAAATTAGCATTATTCTGTCATCCATGTAGTCTTATTTGAATGGTTCATTTCCTTCTTCAGGTGATTGACAAGGTTCAGGAGGAAACTTCCAAAAGCCGATCAGGTATGAAGTGGCTAACAATACTTTGACAGCTTATATTTTACATGTTTGCTCTGTTCATTAACCACATAACATATGAATTCAAACTGTATGTTATCGGTGTAATCGATGAACTCGTGATTACCCCATGTCATAATATTAGTTGGGTTTGATCATATCTAGTCTCTAATAGGCATTTTTTTTTACTTATGTCACTAATCATACCATGTGAATGTAAAGTATAATGTTTCTAAAGAATGTTGGATGACTATCTGTATCATTTTCATGCAGCCAATGCTGATGTTCTTAATTGTATCAGTAAATAAGATATGTCTCGTTGGCTGTTGCACGAACTTCATTGGTTTCTGATTTAAATTTGTTAGAGTTAGTAGTTCTACTGTTCCTTTACATCCATAACTTTCTGAATTTGTATAATACTAATATTGATCTCAGTTTCGAAATTAAGCACTGACACGTGTTTACATAACAGCGTTATGGAATAAGGATAATGTTATTTTGATTAACAAATCTGGCCCCTAATATATCATCTTAATGACCATGTCTGTATCACTACCATGTTTTTCACAGTTTGCAGTGTGTTGGTATGGATGGCTATGCCTGTTTTTCATTCTTCTGTTTCATGTAGGCACATACACGATAGTTTATTTGTTGTTGTCAGTCATATAATAATGTTCTATTCCATTCTCTCATTGAATTGAATTGATAAATATTGCAGTATCTGCTCATGTCGAGTTTGAGTCATTCATTGCATAGTAATTGGTTACTAGTTCAGGATTTGATTTTTTATATACTGCTGTAAATGCAGATAGGAAGCCACCAGGTGTTGGCCGCGGAAGAGGAAGGGGGACGTTGGTGTTAAACCTGGAGGCAGAGGCATTGGACGCAGCCAAGATGATGGAGGTAGAGGCAGTGGTGGCCGTGGAAGGGGTGGAATTGGTGCCAAAGGTGGTAACAAAGGTATGTGCTTTTCGTAACCACTTACACATGTTATCAGTCCCACCCCTCAGTTTCAAGAGATACCAATCTGTGGGACGCTTTACTTTTTGGCGCAGGTGGGGGCCGTGGCCGTGGCTGAAGCTGGTGGACACATGGGACAATGCCGCTTTTTAAGGCCTGTAATTGTGTTGCATAGTTTGCTTAGGACATGAAGAATGAACCGAGTTGGCTGGTTGTTTTGGGGGCAAAACCCAGAATGGTTCCTGTGGTCTAGACATTGAGGCAGTGCCGCAGCGGTGGCAGCCAGGCCTGTCACTGTTCCTCAAAACAGTTTGGTTGATATCTTGAGTATGAGCCATTCTGTTCATTTGTTGAGAGGTATCCTGATTAAATGACTAATTGATGTTGCCGATTATTTTGTTAGGGTGCAAGTCATGCTGAGTGTGCGCATTTTCAGCGTGCAATGTTAGTATAGAATGTTTTATAATTTATATTTTTTAATTTATTAGCTTGCAGGGATCACTGTCAGTTAAAAAGGATAGTGTTCATACGAGGGGTCACTGTTTGTTTGAAGTATTTGACTCACTCTAACATAGCGAGGTCGTTTTGCTTTAAACACTATCTACGTGAGTTACAGAAACTGAAGAATTTAAAAGATGCCCCATATAAGTGAAATCGAAGAATTTAAGGTCCCCTTTGGAGCGCTTGATTTATTTCTTGTTTCTATGCTTTTCCTATGAAGAATGAAATCATGTTAAATTTCTGTAGAATTCCTATGAAATTCCTGCGTTTCAAAGGGTCCCTAAAAGATATCCCATATAAGTGGAATCGAAGAATTTAAAAGATGGCCCATCTAATTGAGTTACAGTAATCGAAGGATTAAAAAAAAGGTGCCCCTTCCGTCTAAATGAGCTACAAGATTAATAGAGAGATGTTCCTATCCTTTTTCTGTCCCCTATGGTTTTCTTGGATTTTTTGTTTCCCTATGGTTTTCTGTGTTTTGAGAAAAAAATGCCGTTGGGGTGGGCCGAATCGATCAATTGGTTCTTCGCTTATATACGCAAAAATTGGTTCCTTATAAACTGAGAATTGAAATGCTCTAAGATACTAGGAGAATCGAGCATTTTGGTTTTGGTTCTTTCGATTTGGTTTTGGTTCTAACTGAACCCTGTAGGAGCTAAGTCAACAAAACAAAGCTCATGTTTTAAGAAATTTTTGGCAGCACTCTTCTATTTAGGCAATAATGATTGATAAGGAACAACATCAATATTGTAACACGAATACTCACCAGTTCAAATATGACACATCGATCACACACAAAACCGAAGTCTTAAACATAGTCTTCCACAAAAAAGCAATTAAGTTCATGTCCTGCTCAAGCTCAACTCAACAATACTTAATAGTTCCAAAATCCAAATGGCGAAATACAACCGTTCATAAATGCTTACACATTGCATAAGTGCCATTTAAGCCTATTTTACGGGATTGTGGACAAACCCGATTGCATCTATAAGAAAAATCATAAATTATACAAATTACTTGTATAACACGTAAAAATTAAGACTATTTATGAGTTTATGGACAAGCTCACTTGCATCCCTGTTTTTTTATTAAGCACTAAGAATCGGCGTCTATTTTTCTCCATCCTCAGATAACTTCTCTGTATTTTATCTAGCACTTTAAAACATATAGAAAACGATTTTTACTCAAATGGCTCTCCAAATGATGATTTAGAAAGTGAATTTTAGAAAGATTCTTGGTGATGCTCTTAGATAGGTTCGCGGAAGACCGCCAACAAATATTGTTAACTTCAACATGTTTTTGTCTAACTAAAGGCTTGTTTGGATGAGCTAGGGCTAGTTACTACTCAATCCATCCCAAATTGTAATACGTTTGACTTTTTTGACACCAAGTTTGACCACTCGTCTTATTTAAAAATTTATGTAAAATATCACTTCTTTCGTCGTGGTTTGGTTTATTAATAAAAATTCTTCAAGAATGACTTAAATTTGACTATATTTGCACAAATTTTTTGAATAAGACGAGTGGTCAAACTTAGGGCAAAAAAAGTCAAACGTCTTACAATTTAGGATGGAGGGAGTAGTTGGCTAACAATTGGTTAAAGTCTTGGTTAAAAAAAGTATCCTACCTATTAGAGCATCTCCAAGAGACTCCATATCCTTCCTAAATGTTAGGAATAGAGATTTTGGTGAAAAACTACCCCAACAGCTTCTCTAAATGGTCATCTAAATATAGCCATCTTCTATTCCAAATTTTTCGTTAGCCAAAAATAGAAGACGAGAATGACTCTCTAGAGTATGCATGAAATATAGAAAAACTGTTGGAGAGTAAAAAGATATAAAAAACGATTTTTATGCAAATGGCTCTCCCAATAATGATTTAAAGAGTGAGATTTAGAAAGGCTCTTGGGGATACTCTTAGCTCTTTTATTTGGATGCACTAAGACTAATTATTAGCTACATGCACTAACTAATTTAGCTAATTTTTAGCGAACTACCCCATGTGATCAGATAGGCGCTAAAAAGAAAACCTCAAAAAAACCTGCAGGTTGACTACAGGTACAATGATAGAAAATAGAAAAAAGGACTAGTACAGGGTACACACGTCAAACTGACAGGTGGGCCCGTCAACACAAACATCACCACGCCCTCGGTAGAAAGTGCGTAGAAACCCTTCGCCAGCTGTGCCGGAGGAAGTTCCGGGCCTCAGTGTCGAATCCACCTAGACCCGGTCTAGGTGAACCAATGACTCGTACCCCGTTCCCTCCCGTGCTCTTGTTTCGTGGGGCCGGTCCGCGCACCAAGTCCGCTAGCCCCGAGCGCATCGCTAGTAGTTCACCACCCCCCCCCCTCAAAAGGGGCAGCAAAACACTGCCACCGAAGGCGCGAGCCATTGGAGGCGATTTTTTTTATTTTTAACATTTTTTTTAAACTATTTTAATTTTAACACTGTTTTTTCAAAGTAACACTTTTCGATGCGCCTGTTTGCATGGCGCGGCAAATTCACGCTGCCGCGCCATGCATGGCAGCGCGGCATGGGGCGGTCAACGACCGCGGCGACCGCTAACGTGGTGGGGCCGACGTGCCGTGCATCATGGCGCGGCGAGGCTTTACTTACCCGTTGCGGTGCTGGGTCGCTCCCTCTGTCTGTCTGCCTGACTCGAGGTGAGGCCGCTCGCGGCGCCCACGCCATTGCCTCCCGACTCCCCCACGGTCGGCCGCCGACTTTCCCTCCCTTGCCGGCCCCCTCCCTACCCTCTCCGAAGCTCCTTCTCGGCCTTGTCAAGGTAACGAAGCTCCTCCTCGGTCTCCACGGTGGATCGAAGGATTTGAATGAGTAGTTAGGGTATGGAGAAAAATATGAGTTCGTTAGAACGTTGGATTGAAAGATTAGGATTAGGATTGCCAATGTTAAGGTTAATTGGTTAGTTAGAATTATGATTGCCATGTATTCTAAGGCCAATTTTTATATGAATTTTGCTTGTTTGAGTTTGCATCTCAACTTTTATATGTGAATAAATATATGGACACACTGTTGATGTACCAAATTTTATTTTTTAGTGACCAAAGTATAGTTTTTATATAGTTTGCATGTTTACATCTAAGATAGAGTTTGCACCAAAGTGTAGGTTATATTTTATTTGTTGTAATGCAAATGGTTCTCATTGACATTAATTTGTGATGTTTTGATTTTTGTTTGTTAAATTACAACCGTTTTGTTAGATTCAAGACATGTATCGGGAGGAGTTTTGGCGAAAACGGGGTCGTCCTAGAGAATTATACCCCGACGCGTCTAGCAAAGATGCGCCCATCCCTCCTGACCTTCCCCTGTCCCTAACTGTGACTGTGGTTTTCCGGCCGACGTGTTTCAATCGAGACATCCAGACACAGCGGCGCGTTGCTTCTACACATGCAGTCGTTTTAATGTAAGTAATTATTTCCACTATCTTTTTTCTTCATTTGTGTAAATAGGCTACTAATATTTTGTTAGAATCTTGTTGTGTAGGCCCATGAGAGGTGTTTTTCTTTCAGTGGATCGACGGTGCAGAATAAGTTTGACCCTAGGTACCTTCTTTTCGACGATTGGTGTAGAGGGAGACATCCACGTGAGCACTTTGAGCGGTGGATTCCACCCCCTAACCCCCACCAATGACGGCTAAGGAGAAGCACCTAGCCGTAGTTAGACGACTCGAGGAACCTCCTCTGTGCGAATGTGGAGATCGAGCTGTGATAAACCCTGAGAATACGTTGAAGTTGGTGTGTCCGAACAAGCACAAAGTAAGTGGAAAGTATATCTGTTTAAATGTTTATCTCTATATATGTGCGTGTACTAATGTATTCTCTTGTAGCATTATGGATTTATGAAGTGTCATTTCAATGAGTGGTTCTACGGTCCTAAGAATCAATGGCCGGAGCCACCAAAGGCAAAGGAAAAGAAGAAAGAAAGGTTAATTTACAAAGCACCTCCAGTCATGTGTGGATGTGGTGTTAAATCTAACTACGGTTTAGTCCCTTCGGATCTTGGAATAGGCCATTATTGTGGCCATATGGTTGACTATGATGAGGTTGGTTATTTTTATGGTAAACATGAAATCATATTTTGTTTCTTTTGCTAAGACATATATGATATAATTTTTTATTTGAACAGAGCACTAGAAAATACAGGTGGGAATGTTATGATGGTCAAGCTTAGTTCTTGGATGAACTGAAGGGGAGGCAAGTAATTGCATGGAAGAGGGGATATGGACCTGACTACGTCAACCTATTCGTTAAACATCGCAAAAAGAAGATGCGTGAGTTTGTTAGACAGCGCGGTATTCGTAACTCGATCGATGTTAGACTTAACAAATGGGGGTTGGAGAGACGGAGGGCGTTAGAGGAGGAGAGGACAAGGAAGTAGGCAAGGGAGGAGACAAGAGTACAGATGCAGGTCTTGAATGACCATGTTGTTGCATTGTGTGCCAGTGAGTGCTTAAAAGCCTTTTTATTTTCGTTGCCTGATTTTAAATGTAATATAATCGCATTGCTAACTGGTTGCATTTTATACATGAAGGGATTGGATGCAGCAAGGATCGTGCCACAGAGGTGGCCCATGCAAGGTATGAGGAAAAGAAGTTAGATGAGCACAGAACGCGAGCTGGTCGCACCGTCCAATCTCCGATCGTGTTGGCCGATGATGGGGACGAGGATGA